CCTCAGGTTAAGTCTACACAGAGGAACCAGAGAAAGCTGGCAGGCGTGCACCGAAAAGGGTGTATGTATGGGAGGGTTGTGTGGGAATGGGAAAGGACACTGTGAGTAGGCCGAGCATCTGCCCTGGGTTGACAAAAGGACAAAATTTCAGGGGTGAGGGTCCACACCCGGGACCAGAGGGGGCGGGGCCACGGTCAGGCAGGAATTGGCCGGGCAAGGATTAAAAAAGGCCGATAACACACGGAACTGAGACTGGGGAGCCCGGTGCTGGGAGCACTACGGGGTGGGAAGTGGCCTAGGCAGCGTGGGGGTGGGGGTGGGGACAACTTTGGCGAGCCTCAGTCGCTTGACTTAGTCGAAATGCATTCAGAGAGGCAAAAGCTAGGTCGAGAGGACCCTACCCCGAGACCACTCCCACCTTTCCGAGCTACTATCCCTTATCACGTGGAAGTGCTGGGTCTCCCTGTCTCGGGCCTTTGGGATCTCCGAAGAACAGAAAGAAGATGGTGGCTGATTGCAAGGACGGGTCCTGAGAAAAGGGACGTGGGAAAGTCGCGATGGTCCCTCTGTCATTCCCTCTTCTCAGTTCCTAATGCTTCATGGACCTCAAGCCACCGCACCCCCACCCCGGGCTCCGTACTGGGTTCTGCCCCAGAATAACACCGCGTGCAGAGTCTGGAGCAGTTTGCACAGTCCCCCTTTTAAAACTCCCTTCAGTACACCAGGGGCAGCGTCCGCGCCTCAACGGCGCCCTCTGGAAACGCGGATGGAACCGCAGGGCCGGCGCGTCTTGCTCCGTCGGGGCGGGGGGGCGTTCAGCCGCAGCATCTCGGGTCCTCGCAGCGTGGAGCGGCGGTGCCTGGGACAGCCGCGACGCTGGGACGCTGGGGAGGGGCTGGTCCGGCTGCGCTGACCGGGATGTGTAGGCGGGCGCCATCTCCCACTGCTGCGGGTCCCCTCACCCTGTCTTCTCCCGGGTCCCAAGGGCGGCACGCCACTGCCTTCTCTCACCGTTTCTCGATGGAATGAGCTCTACCGCCAGCCACTACGGCAGCCACAGATTCGAATTCGACTGCCACCCCCACCCCACCCCACCCCCCTGGCGACAGCAGCAGGTGGTGGCGCGCAGCACAGAGTTTGGCTGGGGCTCAGCCTTGTGCAGATCAGCTCCTAGAATTCCATTTTGCTAGCGCGACCCCGGAACCCAGCCCCACAGATTCTGATACGGGCTGGGTAGCTGGAGACCCCGACAAAGGCCCTTCCGCAAGGGACCGCACAGTTGCACAGGCATTTTCTTCTAGTCCCAGGTTCTCAGGTTTTCTTAGGACCTCCATCTAGAGTCCATTAAGAAAATCTAAGTTTCATGATCAGTGAAATGGTGACGACAATCTTGCCTAAGGCTTACCTCTGTGATGGGTCTCCTGAGGTTCCGGATTTTTTATTTTTGTGAGTCCTGGGGTGCTGGAACCCTTGATAACATAAAGAGAAAGAAGAAAAGAAGAAGAAAAAATTGTCCCCCTGTGGGCTGGAAAGTGTGGGTGGCTTAACTGGGAACGGCCTTCTTTCTCCCACACATCAGAAGCTTGGGTTGGGGAAATCCCTTCTTCCACCCTAAGAGCAAACATCTGTGTGGCTGGTGCCCCCCCGCCCGGCCCCCCCAATCTGGAAGTCCTGCCTGTCTATCCGAACCAGAGGAACTCCAGCGCTCTGAGTCCATTCATTAAGTATGAATTGCCCACACAATGAACTGGACCATGTTTTTGGGATAGGGACCCAAAAGGACCCCATGCTCACAGGGTTTCAGTCTAGCAAGAGACATGCTTCAGCTGGTAACTACAACAGAAAACTGATTTACTAGAGGGCTCGTTCAACCACTCATGCGTGCACCTACCTCTAATTGTTTTCTTTTCAGACTTAATGTGTCTGAGTGTTTTAGCCGAATGTGTGTCTGTGCGTCACGCGTGGGTGGGCCTGATGACGACACAGGGGCATGGGATCCCCTGGAACTAAAGTTATGAGTGGTTGTGGTCCACCGTGTGGGTACTGAGAACCAAACCTGGGTTCTGAGTGTTGGCGCAGAGGCATTCCACCAGCCTGCTCTCAGGGGCCTAGCAACTGCTTACGTCATCACCGGCCAACACCAAGTCTGCTAGGTGTATGCCGCTATAAAAGAAACCACCCACCACCCCAGCTCTCACTCTGTCCCTGGGGTTCCCCCTTTCTCTCCCCCTCTGCCCTCCTCTCTCTGTTCTCATGGCTCTCTCTGTTTCCTGGCTATCTGCCTGTCTACGTATCCATTTCTGTGCTTCTATCCCTTCCCCGGGTCCTCACTCCTCTCCCTTCCCACAATAAACCTTGTATACACCAGATCTATTGAGTGGTGGGATTTCTCAGAGGCAGGCTTTCCGAGTGATGCTGACACACACCAGGGTTGGAGGAACACCGGAAAACATACAAAATGGCAAAATCCAGCCACGCTGTCAGAAATGAGAGCAGAGCTGGGGGAGCCATTCAGTCAAACCCCATCAGCATGCCCAACGCTCTGGGTTTGCACCACCAAATGGGTGGGAGAAGAAAAAAAGTAGAAGTAGTCTGTGGTGACTCATGGATGTAATCCCAGGATTTAGAGCCAGAGGCAGGAGGATCCCTGTGAATCTGAAGCCAGTCTGTGCTACAGAATAAGTTCCAGGTCATCTTAGGAGGAGACCTGCCTAAAATAATGATATTAATAATTACAATCTCAAAAATTATATACTCACACATACATACACACTCATACTCATAGTCTCACTCACTCACACACACACACACACACGTACACATATGTTCATTTGGAAACAAACAAAGCAATGTTATCCTATACAGAGAATGTGAGAAATGTCAAGCCAGGAAGTTTCCCGGTAATAAGAATTATTTGACCACGGTGCTGCTTATTGATCATGTGGAAGAATTTACCATACTACATATTTAGATGCGTATGTTTCTCTTTTTGTCTCCTTCCTCTTTCCTTCTTCCTCCCCCTCCTTCTCTTCCTCTTCTCCTTCTTGGTTCGTTTTGTTTTCAAGTCATTGTCTCATGTGTTCCAGGCTGAGTTCAGATTCACCATGTAGCCAAGAATGAGCTCCTGTAGTTACCTGCCAAGGGCTGGGATTACAGGTGTGTGTCACTATGCCTACTTTCTGTTAGGTTGTTTTTGTCCCCCTGTAAGTATACACAGGAGCCTTGGAGAGAATACAAGCTGGCATAATCATTGCTGACAGTAATACAATGGTTTAAAGAGAGCCCCTGAGAAGCATGATGGCAGCCAGATGGTGGTACCATAAACCTCTAACTCCAGCACTCGGGAGGCAGAAGAACGAGGATCTCTGTGAGTCTGAGGACAGCCTGGTCTACAGAGTGAGTTCCAGGACAGCCAGGGCTATACAGAGAAATGTGTAGGGAAATTTTAATCCAGCAACATGTCTGCTCTGGCTAGAAGACAGACAGGCCTTTAATCCCAGGAGACAGAGGCAAGCAGATCTCTGAGTTCAAGGCCAGCTGGTACAGAACAGGTTCCAGGTACAGAAAAGCTTAGGTCCAAGTGTGGTAGTACACACCTTACTCAGGAGTCAGTGAGCTGAGGGCAGTGCAGGGGAGTTGAGGTGGTGGCAGTTCAGTTCATGGAATTCAGAGGCAGTTTTTGTTGTTGTTTTAAGATTTATTTATTTATTCCATATACAGTGTTCTGCCTGTATGTACACCTGCACACCAGAACATCATTATAGATGGTTGTGAGCCACCATGTGGTTGCTGGGAATTGAACTCAGGACCTCTGGAAGAGCAGCCAGTGATCTTAACCTCTGAGCCATCTCTCCAGCCCCTCAGAGGCAGTTTTGAGCGAGACAGTTTTACAGATAGGTTGCAGAAAGAACAAGCTAGACACAGGTGAAGACAGAACAAGCCAGGAAATGAGAAGGAGCCAGAAGATTAGAACAAATTGCAAGAATTAGTTTGAGGCCAAGCAGAACAATTCAGTCAGAAGCCTAGAGAATCAAGTTTGAATGAGTCACCTTGGAGAGAATCTTGAGCCAGAACAGGGGAGTTGAACCAGCCAGTCAGATTTCAGAAAGAACTAGAAAGTATGACCTTATTCATCAGTCTCAGAGACAACAAATAAAAATTACTTTTATATCTGGTGACCAACATGGAACATTTTCTTGATTCATGATTGATGTGGGACTCAGGAATAGATGCTACCCATGGGAAGATGGCCCTGGGTCGTATAAGGAAACAAGCTGAGCCAGGCAGTGGTGGCACATGGCTTAATCGGGAGGCAGGGGTAAAAGTTACTTGTACAGAAACTCTGCCTTGAAAAAAGAAAAGAGAGATAGAGGCACCGTGGTCCATGCTTTAGTCTTAGCACTCAGCAGGCAGAGGCAAATTTCTATGAGTTGAAAGCTAGCTTGGTCTACATAGCAAGTTCTAGGCCAGGCACCATTTGAGATGAGATGAGGGAGGGAGTGGGGGGAGGGAAGAAAGCAGGAAGGGAGGGAGAAGGGAAAGGAGAGACTGAATGAACCCCTGCAAATGGCAGGAAGAGAAATGGCTACACGTCCACCTGCCGCTCTGCCCTCCCCTCCAGCTATGGGCAGCTCCGTCAGCTGTCAGAGCTTTTCAGTGATTGCCAACAGAACCTAAGACCCCTTAGAGGAAAGGATGGAGTCACTGACCTGTCACAACAGAGAAGTCAGTGAGCTACCCTAGTCCCATCAAAGCAGCACCAGAGTCCAGGGCTCCTGACTCCCAGGCTAGGCAGCTGGACACTATTCCCTTGCGGAAGAGCCGGCACCATAAAGAGGACAGGGGCGCTGGTCAGCCAGTGTCCTCTCCCTCTTGACTCCCTTGACTTGGGTCTTGGGAGGAGGGCCAAGTCCGGTGTGGATGATGCTTTTCTTATCCTGCTGCAACTTCCTTTCTGGGAACCAGGAACCTGATTCTGGGCAAAGACAATAAAATTCACCCAAAGGGCTCCTCCTGCCCCCGGCCGGATGGGCATCACGTGGCCCTCAATTAGCAGACCAGGAAAATTCCATCCCTTGCACACTTAGCCTCACATACCCATCTGCTCCCTCACCCTGGCACACTTAGCCTCCCTTACCCACTTTCTGCATTTACCCCTGCATGCTCCTGGCACACTCTTCTCCACCTCTCTCACGGCCACATAGCCAGCCTTTCCCTTCACCCCCTCACTGATCGCCACAGACATACCATGTCCCTAGGGCCACTGAAATTCCAGGCGGTGGGAGAGGAGGAGGAGGAGGAGGAGGAAGAGAGCTTAGACTCGGTGAAGGCACTGACCGCCAAGCTCCAGCTGCAGACCCGACGGCGGTCATATCTGGAGTGGACTGCCAGGCTCCAGAGCCGGGCTTGGTGCGGGGCACAAGCTAGACCGAAGGCGGGGGGACCTCGGTCCATCTGTGGCTTTGACTCCGTGGATTCTGCACTTGAGTGGCTCAGACGGGAGCTGGTGAGTCCAGAGGGTTTGACAGACCTGCACAGGGTCTTTGAGCCAGTCCTGGAGTGTGTGGGGTTGGGAGGAGGTGAGAATTGATCAATATCCACACTAGTTCCTCATGGCTGTGCCCTAGGGAAGAGGAGTCAGGAATTCACTTGTCCGTTGTTTGATTTGGGGAACAAACTCTGGAGTAAAATACCCTAGAGCAGTGGTTCTCAACCTGTGGGTCTTGACCCCCCTGGGGGTGTGGCAGGCATATTGGATATCCTGTATATCATATATTTACATTACAATTCACAACAGCAACAAAACTACAGTTATGAAGTAGCAACGAAAATGATTTTTTGGTTGGGGGGGTCTCACAACATGAGGAACTGTAGTAAAGAGTCCCATCATTAGGAAGGTTGAGAACCACCATTCTAGGGAGAAGAGACAGCCAAATAAAATGTAGTCCCTGACCGCACTGTCAGGTATAATCTGAGGAGGGAGAGTTGACCATTAGCTGTTAACCCAACGTGTGAAAATGTCCGTTCTCCCCGGGCATGGTGGCTCACGCCTGTAATCCTCACACTTGGGGAGACAGAGGCAGGCAGATCTCTGTGAGTTTGAGGCCAACCTGGTCTGCAAAGCAAGTCCAGGACATCCAGGGCCACACAGAGAAACCCTATCTGGGGAGAGGGAAGAGAATAGCCACTTTAGCTGGGTGAGTCAGTTGATTTGTGATAGTTGCTTTGTGATATGGTTCCTTGACTTGGTTTGAGAACTACCAATCGGGGGAAAAAGAATCTGAGGGATGGGGAAAGATGAGGTTAGGTGAGAAGGGGCTTTTGAGCTGGTCAATGCAAAGAATCTTCACAGACAGGGAATGATGGCTGGTCAGGCTGGAGGAAGCTAGTCTAGCGAACTCATCTCCCCTCTTGGTCACAGCAGGAGATGCGGGCGCAGGACCAGCAGCTGGCAGGGCAACTGCTGAGGCTGCGGGTCCAGCTGCACAGACTGAAAATAGACCAAGCTTGTCACCTACACCAGGAGCTTCTGGATGAGGCCGAGATGGGGCTGGAGCTGGAGTCTGGGACAGGCCCCGCTCTGGCCCCGCCACTGCGGCATCTGGGACTCACACGCATGAACATCAGTGCCAGGCGCTTCACCCTCTGCTGAGGGCGCTCCGGGGTCCCCCGGACTCTCTGGGAAGAAGGAAGTAGGAGGGGCCGCAGAGGGTTGGCGCTTGCTGGGGGAGAGGGCACGCTTGGGTTTCTGAAAGCTCAGTTCAGAGAGCTTAAAGACCTAGGGTGAGGGGAAGAGAGGGAGTTTAGGCCCCAAACTGTTTAATAAAAACACATGGTATCCCTTTCGGCGTCTTTGCAGTCCTTCACTGAGGCGGAATGGTGTTGTTGGGTGTCTACCTTGCACTGGGTTAGAGACTCCACCACAGGAGACAGGATCCTGCCTAGGGTAAGATGCACCCAGTCTCCCCAACAGCTCCGCGACCATTTCTCTGCCTTATCAAAACCAGAAGTGGGAAGAAACAATTTTGTTTGTTTACCTTGTTGATTGAGACAGGATTTCTCTGGGTAGCCCTGACCGTTCTGGAACTCTGCAAACCAGGCTGGCCCTGAATTCAGAGATCCACTCTGCCTGCTTTTGCCTCCTGAGTGTTGGGATTAAAGGTATGCACCACCACTGCCCGGTTGAAACAATTCCATTTATTTGTTTATTTATTTACCCATCTATGTATCTGTTTGTTTATTTTGGTTTTTTGAGACAAGGTTTTTCTGTGTAGCCCTGGCTGTTCTGGATTCACGTTATAGATCAGGCTGGCCTCGAACTCACATCAATCTGCCTGGCTCTGCCATAGCGCTGGGATTACAGGCATGCACCACCACGCCCAGCATCTTATGCCACTTCCATGGCAGGTGATAGAGGTACATCAAAGGCTTGGAGAATGCAGAAGCTGGTAGTTCTTTAGTCAAAATCAACTCTCCTATTTATTTCTTTTCTTTTTTTCAGAGACAGGGTCTCAGTATGTAGCTCCAACTGCCCTAAAACTCACTCTGCAGACTATACTGGCCTTGAACTCACAGAGATACACCTGCCTCTGCCTCCCAGTGCCGATCTGATCTCATTTGAGTGCAGGCACTAAAGGCATCCATCACTAAATAGGGCTTCCCCTATTTATTTCTATTAGACACTGGGCCAATCTCTGCACTAAGGAGGAAGAGAAAGGCAGATCTCTAGGAGCTTGAGGCCAGCCTGATCTACATAGTGAATTCCAGGCTAGCCACGGCTACCCTAGAAAGAGAGCCTGTGTCCAAAAATAAGTAAATAAGTAAACAAACAAACCAATAAAACCAAGCTGGCTGCTAAGTCTTGCTCCACAGGCAGCTAGAAATGCCTTACCTTAGGACACACAGAAGGCAGCCAATAAATGTAAGCGCTGCTTTGTAATACCAACCCCGGAGGCGTGCACTAAAGCTGAGGGGAGCTGTAACGTGCTAAGGTTCACAAGTGAAGGTAGCTGTACCCTGCACCGAGTCTGGGGACACATCTTCCGGCTAAGTCTCTCTGAAGGTTTTTTTTTTCCCCCCTGTGTCTCTCAAGCCTTTCTTTCTGTGTTACTCTCTTTGTCTGACTTTCCAACTCAGGCTTCCTCTCCCCCCCCCATTTCCTGCCCCCCCCCTCCTCTGCAGCTGAGGTGCACACAGCTTCAGCTCTCACCTCACAAACCCCAACAATGCTCTGCGGGCTCCCCTCCCCCACCTGCTCACTCAGCAGAGCTCAGGAGGTGACACATTTTTACTTTTCTTCCAGTGAGGTCAGGACCCATTCTTGGGCCTGATAGGGGCTCATTTGGGGTTCCTCATATCGCTGGTAGCCTGGCCTTCTGCCAGGGATGGGCGCCATCCTCACGTTTGACCTGCCTGCTGCTTTTGTTGCAAAGTTCTTAAACTCCTGCTGAGGTCAGAATGTCTGCTGACTGCCCCAGATGCCTGGGCAGTATGCTTGCTCAGTCTACCTGTGGCAAACAGCGGTGGAGGCTGTGCGCTCCATTAGGGGTGTGGCCTTGCCTTGCCTTGATTTACCATCTTCAGCCATGCTGTCCTATCCTCTGCCTGTTATTCTATCTGTTTATCTATCATCTATCTATCTATCTATCTATCTATCTATCTATCTATCTATCTATCTATCCTTCCATCTATCTGTCTAGACAGGGTCTCTTTATGTAGCCCTGGCTGTCCTGGAACTCACTGTATACACTAGTCTGTTTTAAAAATCACAGAGATCTGCAGATCTCTGCGCCCCCCCCCCCTTCCCCAATGCTGGGATTAAAGCTCTGTGCCACCATGCCCCAGCCTATCACTGCAGTCTTAAGGGCATGGGGTTTTCTTGTCTTCCTCCTGAAACAGGTTGTCAAAATTCACCTATAAGAGACCTGCCCCATGACGCTAACACAGCTGTTGTCCTGTGCCCCAAGGTGACGTGGGTCCTGCTCTGTCGCTGGCTGTGGAAGCCTTTTTACTGCCGCACACGCAACCCCGTCACTAACTATTTGGTAGAGATGCTGTCTAAGCTTCAATTCTGAGCAGAGATGCCCTTGGCTGTCAGGCTAAATTAAAGGCCAACAGTTCTTGTTCAGTGTGCCCTTCCCTGTAAGCTGAGCTTGTAGCTGCTGTCCTCTACTCCTGAGGGCAGAGGTGGCCTTTGGATCTCTTACCTAGGTGTATCTTGGAGGCCAGGAAGGGGGCTCCACCAAGCATCCTTTCTTGCCCTGTGTAATGACCCACTCCCTTAATCCCAGCACTGGGGAAGCGGAGGCATACGGCATGGTGCTCTGTGAGTTTAAGGCCGCACTGGTCTGGTCTGCAGTACAAGTTCCAGGACAGTCAGGGCTACACAGTAAGACCCTGCATTGAGAAGAAAGAAAAGTCCTCTCATTGGTTGTTATTATTATTATTGGTTTTTTGAGACAGGGACTCATGGGGTTCAGGCTGGCCTGGAACTCTGTATGTAGCCACTACTGTCTCCACCTCAAGAGTGCTGGGATGATAGACCGGTGCCATAACACATGGACCTCTCCTCAGCTTTCCCTCCTCCGAGTGCCTCCCTCAGTATGAGTAGGGGCTGGCTTAGAGATGTCTGGGACCCAGGAGGCTGAGGGTCTAGGGCTATGGCGGCAGGAAGCCTGGGGTGCTGGAGGCTTGTGGTCGGGTTGCTGGGGCCGGGTTGGCTGCGGAGTCCTCAGAAGGAGGCAGGAAGTCAGGGTGGAACGTGGGCGCGAAGAGACAGGTGTTGACTACGAAGGCGAGGGGAGCTGAGACCAGGTCCAGGCAGCCACTCCACGCCAGGAACAACATGTGAATGGGCCGGAAGGCTCCCAGGCTGGGCAGGTAAGGGGTACAGGGAAGAACAGTCGGGGGTGGGGGGCGACGGTGGAAGCCAGGCCGCAGAGGGCTGCGTCTGTGTGGAGGGACAGGCTCCCTGGGTGTACAATCGCCTTTCAGAAATGTCTGGCTGCAGGTTGGCTAGGTTGGTGGCTCTCGTCGCCTCTGCTCTTCTCTTGTCTGTCATTCCCCACCTCACGAGATGCCAGCAGCTGGGTGTGGTGGCACATGTCTTTGATCGGAGCATTCAGGGAGGCAGAAGCAGGTGGACTGATGTGAGTTTGAGGCCAGCCTAGTCTGCAATGCGAGTCCAGGTCAGACAAGGATACAGAGAGAAACGTTGTCTCGAAAAACAAAAACAAACAAACAAAAAAGGAGGGCCATCCGCAGTCACCAGTCCATCACAGGATGAGGCTTCTGTGGCCCAAAGGTGGCCATGTACCTGCTTAACCCATACCTCCTCAGGCTGGACAGCGGCAGAGCAGGACCTGGGGAGGGTGATGGCTGGAGCTGGACTCCTCCTACTCCTGTGACACATGTGGTGGGTGATGAGATGGCCAGTCCTGAGCACAGGGCCCCAAGAACCAATTCCCTGGTCCCTGGGGCAGACCCGAGTAACAAAAATTTGTGAAAGGGTAACCCATGGCATCCAGATGGACACATGAGAACTGAGTTGAGCCTTAGTGACCAGACCATGAAAGACAGAGAGGTTGCCAGGAAGCTAGGTATGAGAGGGATGCTGACCCAGAATGGCTGTGGGCTCCCAGGGGAAGTTCGTAGTGAATGAGAATGGGAGGAGAAAGGAAGAGGAAGGATATTTTTATCCCGGACGGGGTACAGCTGGCTCAGGGCAAGAACTTCTGAACTTCCATCTGGAAAGCCACCGTTCCTGTCCTGCCAAGTGTCAGGACAGGATGTCCTTTGCCCTTGTTGCCTCCTGTCTCAATTCAGCTGTGTTTGTGTGTACATGCTGGTCTTCATGATTTCATGATTCTTGCTTCAGGCCCCAAAGGGTGGAGGCCCAGAAACTGGTCATCAGTTGCCTCCCATCCCCTCTCGTTCTAAGCCTAAACTCTGGGAGACAGTCTCCGCCTCCGCTGACTTTCCAGGTTTCCCTTGCCTCGATGGAGATGTTTGCGAAACACATTTTCCGTCTTGTCAGCATATGCCAGCCTTCTCCAAGACCTCTTGCCTCCTACAGAGGCAGGAAACACACCAGCTCTTCCTGTGTCTCATATGTCCTTGAACAGGCAACTACAGCAGTCCCCTAGGCCAGCCCTGTTCTGACTGAGAGTCAGGGGCCCTAGTCCTTGGAACTCAGGACAGTGGCTCTTAAGATCAAAAGAGCCCAGAGGTCAAGGGCAGAGAATGGGTTGAGACCAGATGGGGGAGAACTTTCCTTCAGTCGGATCCGGAAGCCTCCTGAACAAGGCAGGGCTGGGAAGGGCAGAAGCTCCTTCTGGAGAGTGCTTGTGTTGTAAAGCTAAGGTCCTTATCCAATGGTGCCACTCTCTGGATACATGGAGGCAGAGACTTTGGAATAAAGTCAAAGCTGCAAGAGCCCAGGGATGTGGTACAGTGTAAAAAAACAAACTTTTCAGCATCAGAGAGGCCAAGGAGCAATTCCGGGCCCGATGTTTGCCTGGGTGAGCGGCTTCTCCACTCCAAACTTCAGCCTGCTTATAAAGACACAGTAACAAAGTTCTCCATTCCAAAGCGCCTGGCAGAATCAGAGGGATAACGAGGACAGTGCATCCTGGGTAGTCTGACACACAGTAGGTGCTTAAGGGAAGCCATGCACTTCCTTTCCCTGCAGAGTGTTTGTTCACACTCACGATTACACCTACTCAGGGCCTGGTGAACAGGCCAGTCCCTCAAGCTTGTGGTATGGCTTTGTAAATGAGCTTGTTTCCTGTATATGAGTGTGAAGACCCAGGAAGGCTAGTTTCTGACTTGAGAGAAGGGATCTGTC